TTTTGCAAGACCAATGACTTATTCATTGTAAATAACTTTTTAAGCAACATAAAAAACAACTATGGACCTCACAAGATGGACTATAGAGGAATCAAATTGACAACATCTGAGAGAAAAAGTGATGAAGTAGGTGTTCACTGTGGAATAAACCATCAGTTGCTCATATGCAAATTCAGGTTGAAGCTGAAGAAAATGAAACAAGTCAATGAGAACCAAAATAGGACCTTGAATATATCCCACCTGAATTTAGAGAACTTCTCAAGAACAAAGTCGATGCACTGAACATCAGTGACAAGAATTGTGGGATGAGATCAAGAACATCATACACGAAGAAGCAAAAGTTTATTTAAAAAAACAAACAGGAAAGAAAAAAAACATCAAAATGAATGTGAGACGAGACTCTGAAATTTGCTCTTGAATGCAGAAAAGCTAAAGCGACTGGAAAAAAATGATGAGGTAAATGAACTGAAAAGAAAATTTCAAAGGACAGCTCAAGAAAACAATTTTATTATAATGAAATAAGCAAACACCTGGAGTGAGAAAACTAAAAAGGAAGAACTTGCTCAGTTTTTCTCAAGCTGGAAGAACTGAGGAAAACTTCAAACCTCAACTTGTGGTATAGGATTCTATGAGCAAAAGATTGGATGACATGTTGTTGTTGTTAAGTGCTGTCTAGTTGGTTCCGACTCATAGTGATCCTGCTTAGGGTTTCCAAGGAGTGGCTGGTGAGTTTGAACAACTCTTTGTGGTTCAAACTGAACTTGCAGTCCAGCGCTTTATTCCACAGTGCCATTATAGGTGGCAAAAGAAGAAGGAATACACAGTCAGTATACAAAAAAGAACTGGTCGATGTTTAATCATTTCAAGTGGTAGCATATGATCAAGAACTGATGGTGTTGAAGGGAGAAGTCTAATGCTTACTGAAGTCATTTGTGAAAAACAAGGTTCCAGGAATTAAATACAAATTGAAATGTCCCAAAAAAACTGATGCTGTGCAGGAGGCCCTCAATTGTCTATGCCAAGAAATTTGGAAGACAGCTATCTGGCCAACCAATTGGAAGAAATCCATATTTGTGCCCATTCCAAAAAAAGGTGACTAAGTGAAATGCAGAAATCATCTAATAGCATCATTCTTATCACATGCAAAATAAAATTTTGCTGAAGATATCTAAAAAAACTGGTTACAATAGTACATCGACAGGAAGCTGCTAGAAATTCAAGCTGGATTCAGAAGAGGATTCAGAGGATCATTCTGGTTGTACTTCTTCCAAACACAGATATGACTGTCTGATTCAAAAGCTAAATAATCTGCCCTATTTTATAATTCAATAACCTTGTTTAAATATAATTCCCTTTCCCAATAAAATATGAAGATTTTCAAGTGTAAGTAGCATGCCTACTGTTTCTGCCATGGCTTTAAACATGTTATTTTTGTGTGCTGTGCAGTTTATGTGCCTCATATGGCCTTAGAGGATAGGATAGGACTCTCCCATAGGCTTTACAGGGAGCTATGGTGCTGTGGGTTAACTAATATGCTGGTCTGCAAAGTCACTTTGAACTGCTAGGTCAGTGGTTCAAGCTCATCAGCTGTTCCTCAGAAACCCTATACAGGGTTGCTCTGGGTCGGAACTGACTTGAGGGCACTTGACAACAACAATAATCTTTAGGGAAGCAGATTGCCACACCCTTCTCCTGCAGATCTAGCAACTTGTTGGTTAGTAGCCGAGTGCACAACTACTACACCATCCGGCCTTCTTGTATCAAGCATAGTGTTTCACATAAGGATAAAGGATTCTTTAAATGCTTTGGTTTGGATCTTGCCCGTTGGGCTGACGTAGTTTTGTTCACTTGTAACTGTCTGATTACTTGATGAGTTTGTCTAAATTTTATATCCTACCGAAGAACATGAAGGTTCATAGTTTGACTTGTTCCTAGCTCTCTATCCCTGTTTTCATGCTACTCTACTACTTTCTGCCTTCCTCTCTCACGATGTTCTTGCATCTTGCTGCTCTTCTTGCAGTACTTTTACCTGTGCTTTATTGACTACATAAAGGCTTTCAATTGTGTGGATCACAACAAGCTATGGACAACATTGCGAAGTATGAGTATTCCAGAACACTTAATTGTACTCATGAGAAATCTGTACCTGGACCAACAAGCAGTTGTTTGAACAGAACATGGGAACACTGAATGTTTTAAAATTAAGAAAGGTGTGTGACAAGGTTGTATTCTTTCACCATACTTATTTAACCTGTATGCTGAGCAAATAATCTGAGAAGCTGGGTTCTATGAAGAAAAACATGGCATCAGGATTGAAGGAAGACTTATTAACAACTTGCAATATGCAGATGATACAATCTTGCTTGCTGAAAGTGAAGAGGACTTAAAACATTTACTGATGAAGATCAAAGAGCACAGCCTTCTGTATGGATTAAGTCTCAATGTAAAGAATACAAAAATCTTCACCACTGGACCAATAAATAACATTCTTATCAATGGAGAAAATATTGATGTTGTCAATATTTCTTGGATCAACTATCAACACTCATGGAAGCAGCAGTCAAGGGATCTGACGACGTATTGCATTAGGCAAATCTGCTGCACAGGAACTTTTTAAAGTGTTGAAGAGCAAAGATGTCAATTTAAGGACTAAGGTGAGCCTGACCCAAGCCAAAGCTCGACAGTGAATAAGGAAGATCGTAGAAGAATTGATGCCTTTGAATTGTGGTGTTGGATGAGAATACTAAAAGTGCCATGGGCTGCCAAAAGAACCAATAGATCTGTTTTGGACGAAGTGTAGCCAGAGTGCTTTTTAGAGGCCAAGATGGCCAAACTTCGTCTCTCATACTTTGGGCATATTGTCAGAAGGGAACAGTCACTGGAGAAGGACATCATGTTTAGTAGGATGGAGGGTCAGAGAAAAAGAGGAAGACCCCCAACAAGATGGATTGGCCAGGTGGCAGCATCAATGGACTCAAGTGTGGCAACAGTAGTGATGTTGGCCCAGGATCAGGCAGTGTTTTGTTCTGCTGTGCATAAGGTTGTTATGGGTCGGTGCTGACTCGATGGCACCTAACAACAACAACAACAACAACCTTAGGACCTTTGTACAGTTAACTTTTGAATAATGTTGTGGTAGGGGTACCAATCTCCCACTTAATTGAAAATCTGCTTATAACATACAGTTGATCCTTGAACAACACAGGAATGAACTACCTGTCATATTACAGTGAGCTTACATATTGCATGTATTATGCTGTGTGACGCTACTATCTCCTGTGGTGTAGTTGGTCTCTAGGGTTTCGAGATGACCTGCTCACCTGGAGAAGATTAGCATCACACAGTGTTTTAAGCGGATACTGCCACACTTGATTGAGCACACTGTAGTATCAATCCCCCAGAAAACCCACTGTTGTCAAGTCAATTCAGACTCGAAGTGACCCTCTATAGGGGTTCCAATGCTGTAACTCTATAGGAGCAGACATAAAACCAACTCTGTGTATACTTGGGCCCCACACAGTTCAAACCTACATTGATCAAGGGTCAATTGTGCTTGCTATTGCCTCAGTCTGCTTGGATATGGCATGATTCACTGCTTCTCATGACTAGTTGAGCTCAGATCAAATATTCATTCTTCAGTGAGGCCTTTCTGGTCACCTGTTCATTCTGTTCCTTTAAATGTGTCTGAGGCATTCTCTTGCCCATTCCCCTGTCTTACTTTCTTCATAGCACTTGCCAGCACCTGAAATTCTCCTTTTAATATTTGTCTCTGTGTTTAGTGATTATCTGTGTATGTTAATGTATAAACTCCATGAGGGCAAGGAACTTTTCTGTTTCATGCAGAGCAGTATCACCAATGCCTATAACAGTGCCTAAATGAGTGAATATTTGAGTTTTCACCCCATGTGCCATCTTGAAATTAATTGTGTTCCATATATTATCTTAATGTGCATTATTTTACATTGATTTCATTGAAAAAGGCACAGAAGTAGAGGTTACAGAGATTTTTTTAAAAAAAATCAAAAGCAGACCATGTATTTTAACTTCACCAAGTGAGACCACAGGCCCTAGGATCTACCAGTGAAAAGAAAGGAAATAGTAACAATCCCTTGTATAGAATGATAACAACCAAAACAAAAACTCACTGCTGACAAGTTGATTCCAACTCATAGCAAACCAAATGACAGAGTAGAGCTCCTCCATAGGGTTTTTGAAACTTTATCTTTATAGGAGCAGACAGCTTTACCTTTCTACCACAGAATGACTGGTGGGTTTGAATTGCTGCTGACCTTGCAGTCAGCAGTCTTTATAGCAAACATTAATGAGTATTTACTATGTCAAAGAAACTGTGCTCCGTATTAGACATTTTTTACACACTGAGCCCTCACAACAACTCTGTGAAATAGATATAGTATGATAATCTCCATTTTTACTGACAAGGACACTGAGATCAGATGTTAGTTAAGCAGTTACATAGGTTGATTTGCCTGGAGTTATAGAGATAGCAAGTCCAGAGCTAGGATCAAACCCAGGCAGGGCAATTTGATTCCAACCTGTGATCTTAACCATTGTGCTATCATTACGGTAGGAAACCTACAGTATATTCTCTTTGATTCTCTCATTTGTTTGCCAAGCAGGTCTGACAGTACTGCTTTGCATATAGTTTCACAAATAGTTAAGAATAAAGAATAATAGTCTTGGGGTTGACTTTCAGGTCCAGGATGTTATTAATCGATGTAACCTTCATACTATTTTCTTCAATCTTTGGTTCTCAAACTATAAAATATCGGGTTTGGCTACAGTTTATCAGCAGCATAGTGTCCAGTGTTCTCTGAACAAAACAGTTAGTTTACTTTAATAAGACTCATCTTTGGATTAAGAACTTTGAAAACCAAACATTAAAAAAAAATTTTTTTTTTTTAAATAGACTTTAGAACTTTCCCTAGGAGATGCTAAGACAAAGTTAGGAAGAATGTTGGTTGGAATATTTAATACATTACCTGGACTTTATTCATTTCCAGTTTGTTCTTTTCATTGGCACTCTGGTCTTGTTTGCTAGCTCCCTTTTTCTGAGGACCTTTCCCAAAGAAGATGTAATTTACAAAGGCATATTCCAGCAGAGCCAGGAACACAAACACAAAGCAACCCATTAGATAAATATCAATCGCTTTGACATAAGGGATCTTTGGCAAGGTCTCCCTGAGGTGAGTGCTGATTGTTGTCATGGTCAGCACTGTGGTGATTCCTGTGAAAGAGAAAGACAAGACTTAGCTGAAAGTGCCCCAGATAAGCATGAAAGGACAGATACTATTTTCTCACTGAAGGCACTAACATGATAAACCATTCGGCAAAGTAGGGCAGACATTTTGAAAGACCAAACTGCATCCTTTAATGAATTGTAAAATGGGATGTTCAGTTAGCGGAGAGTTAAAAACCATTTTGGTTTTGTACACACACACACACACACACACACACACACAAACACACAAAGCACATGCAAATGAAGATTAAAATCCCATGAAGGCTTACTGTCAAGTGTCCCTAATTCTGTTGTATGTCACATTTTTCTTTTCACAGCATTCCATTTATCTCCCTCTAAATCTTTCCTTCTGATACTAATCCCTGTAGTAGCCACTACTAAACTGAAAGCTGCTGACTAGTTTGAGGAGACTTATTTCCTGCCCATGAATCTGTTAGTGCATCCCAGGTCACAGAGTCAGTATTGTATTTTAAAGAATAACACTTGATTCATAGTAAGAAAACACCAAGAGGAAAAAAACCACATAAGAAAGATCATAACTTGCATCAAGTAATTAATTTATGTACTTTTTAGATATAATATAGTCTTGTTACTTTGTTTTTTCAAATATCACCTCTAGTTTCTTGATTTCAGAGTTTAGGATGAGTTAATCTCCAGCTTTCTAAAAAAAAAACCAACTGAATTTACAAAGTACACTTTAAGCTTTTAAAATGTGGATTTTGTTTCATTTGTTTGATTCTTCTGGAAGTTCATGGCATACTCAATTTTCTTCACCAATACCACAGTTTAAGTATATATTATTGGAATGTGAATATGAATGTGTTTATATACTATGATTGGACTCCTGGTGTGGTGCTGGTAGGATCAGTCCTGGACTGTGAACCACAAGGTCAGCAGTTCTAACCCACAAGGTCAGCAGTTCTAACCCACCAGCTGCTCCTTGGAAACCCTATACAGGGTCGCTCTGAGTTGAAACTGACTCGATGGCACAAAACAACAAAAATATATATACTATAAAAATCACAGGATAGTGCCCATAGTATACTGTTTGTGTGATTGCATAATTAATATTTTATGTTGATTATAATGAAAAGATAATTGGGAAAAGCAAAGCATGACAAAGCAGTTGGAATCTTGAATAGACAGTCGTTGTTGTTAAGTGCCATTGAGTCAGTTCCAACCCATAGCAACCCTGTACAGGGTTTCTGAGGCTGTAAATCTTTAAAATGACATATTTGTTAAGTATTTTACAGTTTTAAACATTTAATAAATTGTCTTATATTGTTGTCACTCAGCCTACTGTGTAAGATTGTTGTTTTAAAGTGCCGTCTAGTCTGTTTCAATTAATAGTGACCCTGTACAGGGTTTCTGAGGAGCAGCTGCCGACCTTGTGGTTTGCAGTCCAGTGCTGATACTACAATGTCAAATATTATTTGCATTTTATAACTGGGTAAATGGAAAGTCAGAAATTACTTACTTTGCTTTAGGTTTCTGTAATAGTTAAGGCTTTTTACGTCAACTTGCCTGGGCCTAGATTCTCAGTGATTTGGCAGTTAAGAGGAAGTTACTTCCATGACAAGATCTACCATAATAGAATCCCCCCCATGATGTGATCTGATATGATCAGCCCTGATCTGATATAATTATCCAATGTGTTATAAACACTCATATCTATGATGTTAATGACGTTGATTGCAATCTATAGGATTAGGTTGTACCTTGAACCAATCTCTGTTGAGGTAGGAAAGGAGAGAGAAATGAGCAGAGAAAGTGGGGCCTACTACCACTAAGAAAGGCGAGCCAGAAGTGGAGTATGTCCTTTGGCCCTGAGGTCCCTGCACTGTGAATCTCCTAGATCCAGGGCAAGATTGATGCCAAGATGTGTGGCGATCTCCAACGAATGCTGGCCTATAGTTACTGAAGAAGACAGGGATGTTTTTCTAGAACTGCCACTTGAATTCAGACTTCTAGCTTCCCATACTGTGAAGGAATACATTTCCATTTGTTAAAACCATTCACTTGGGATGCTATTATAGCACCAAAAGATAACTAAGTCAGTATCCCAGTGTAGGGGGAAACGTAAGGTGTTAAATGTTGTTGTTGTTAAGTGCCATGGGGTGGGTTCGACTCATAGTGAACCTGTACATGGTTTCTGAGGAGCAGTTGCCGGGTTTGAACCAGCTGGCCTTGAGGTTCAAACTGACCTTGTGGTCCAGTGCTTATCCTACAGCATCCCAGCAGGACTTCAAGGTGTTAAAGAAAGGCACTTAAAATAAAAACAAGAGATGAAAAGGTAAAACCTGAAACTTGAAGGAACTTAAAAAAATCAAGGCAAGATGTATGAAACTGGTTAAAGACAAAGGAAAACTGGTAAGGTGGAAGGAAGATAGTTATATGAAAGAACAGGAAAAATAGTTTAGCACTCACTTGCCAATCAGTGATTCTAGATGTATAGATCTGCTGATTTGATATCGAGCTTTAGAAGAATAGATAAAACAAAAAGTCAAACTACTATAAAAAAAGTTAAAAAATTTCAGATGAATGATACATTCGAATATGCTGGACTGATATGAAATGTAATCAAGAGTAGTCTTACTTATTTCTTTGAATAGAATTTTAAATTTTATTTCCTATAATTCTACAACAACAACAACATAATTCTAGCTAATGTGTTTAACTGAAATGAATAATTTGTTTACAAACTGCCAATTGCATTTCTGCTTCTACCCTTTGTTTCAAATTTTTGTTTAACAAGAAATGTTAGTAAATGACAGTCTTCTAATGACTTCCTGTGGGTTAATGCACCAGACTGCAAATCCATTTGAATTGCAAGGTCGGCAGTTCAA